TAAGCTCTGTGTGTGCGTGTGTGTGCGTGTTTTTTTTTTTAAACTTGTATACTTGGCTTTCTTCCTTTGAGAAAAGTTTTAACTTCTGAACAAATTTGACTCCCCAAAGGGAACGAGAACGTGAGCTGTATGGGCCCAAGAAGAGAGGACCTAAGCCTAAAACTTTTCTCCTGAAGGTAACTCTTATTTAAGTAACTTAGGCCTAACTAAATGTCTCGAAAACCTCACAGATTCATGCCCTTGGAAGGACCGGACTTTCAAGTGACTCGTGCGCACCTCACTCTGGGAATACGGGGGACAGCCAGACAGGAAATCGGGTGGGGGGCAGGGATGCAGAAGTAAGTGCATGAGGTGTGCGTGTGACGGGTGCCCTAGCAGGACAGTCAGTACATGCGGATATGCGTGGTGAGGCTGCGTTCTTTTTTTCCAATATTCTCTCCCTCCTTATGGCCTTCTGCTGTCGCAGTAGAGAGTGAGCCTGTCCTACTCCCTCTTCTTATAGCAGCATATTCTATTCAGTGTGCGTCCTGTAACTTAGCAGCGTACCGAGTAATCGGGCAGCTGTGGCTGGAGTCTGCTGCCACTTGTGCTGTTCTTATCATCTTTCAGTGTGCAGATGCTGTTTGGGAGCTTCATGGAGGGTTCTTGTTTTGATCTGAAAACTGCAAGCTTGTTTCACTTGGGGGAGGGGGGGGAAGGAGCAGCATTTCACTTCTATGTAGGAAAGCAGCCGAAGTTTCCAGTTTTTCTCTGATAGACCTTTCACCTTTGCAAGAAGGTACCTTCATAGCATCTCTGTACTCCTGTGGTGAAGAATAATGAGGATAGTCCTCAGTGCACCTTCCCCCCCCGATGACTTTTTTTTTTAAACTAGGAAACGTGGTAGTTGCGTGACAGCTCGTATGAATTATGTGGATCGTTAGTCCACAAACAAACCTCTTTACTGTTCTCCCTTCTTCCCCCCTCCCCTCCCAACTATCCCAATCTCAGACCTTAAATGAATGGAGAAACACAACGTGCTCTTGCAGGTTTAAGACGGTTGAGGGAGTTATCAACTTCCGTGGCTTGATCCAGTAAAAAGCCCTGGAACAACCAGGGTGGCCCCTCTAGTGAGGTGTCTCCTAGTCATTCTGTGGCTTTGGGCGAGTTGTTATATCTGTTTCCCCATCTGTGAAACAAGTGAATACTGTCCTCTACCTTACAGATGTTGGAGCTTTACTCAAGTTAAAGCAGTGTTTTAACTGTATGAGCACTGGAAAGAGTAGTGAGGGGTCTGTCCTCAGCTTTGAGAGGACTCGGGGAACTATGGTGATCTTGTGAAAGTCCTGTTGATGGAACTGTCCTGCTTCTCCCACACTGCCTGTTTTGCTGCTAAGAGTTTTCTGTCTCTACAGACTGAAAGCCATAAACATAAGTGGTGTGTGCCACCTCTTACTCTTTATTCAGTGGAAACTGGACTAGTTGGTTTTTCTCTTTCTGGCGGTCATGCATTAAATGAAAGCCTTTTGTTTAGGTTTCAAACAGCGCAGAGGAAAGCTTAAAGGGAAATCACCAGCTTAAAATAATTCTCTGCTTGAATTAAAAAATACTGTCGCTTATAACACCTGACACTCTTCAGAGTGGTAGAGAAGTGTTTTTTCTTCTCTGTTTATGCTGTACTTCCAGCATTACTTTGTGTAATCAGTTTTGTCTTTTTTGACTCTGAATGTGTTATAGGAACGTATAAAATCCATTGCTAATTTTTCTCTCACCAAAAAACAAACAAACCAAAAAAAAAACACTCATTCCTCCTCTTCTCCCCTTGCCCTTTAACACCCTGAAACTTGGAATCTAAATTATTCAGCAACATCCTTTGAATCACATCTCTGAAATGTTTCAGTAGCACATCTTCTTTCTCCCGTCTTCTCAAATGTTACTGAAAACCTGTAGGTTTGTATGACTGACTTAATACTTTGGAGAGGATGGATTTGGATAGGGAGCAAGATGCGCTCTTGTGAAAATTGATGCCTCTTTGTGGGAAACACTGAGCAGGGCAGAACACTGGCACTGCCACTTCATTTGCAGCTCTGGGAAGCAGAGCTGGTGAAACTGTTAGAGCTTTGACTTGCCGTTTTCTGTGACTTCTGCTCCTACCCTAAAAATAACACCCCAGGCCAGGCAACAAGAAGTAACTCTATCTCAGCTAGTCCTATCTGAACGTGTTCAAGCTCTGTTCAGACAAACCGCTATCAGTGCGACTGCTGCTAGAAAAGCAGCTGAGACCAACAAGCTAGTCAGTTCTGTTTGATCCATATATGTGTTCCAGTCATTTCTTCTGACCTGGTGAAGACTGGGCTTTGACCTTGTTAATCCCACAGAATAGGTGTCGCTAGAGGAGCAGTAGGATTCTGTTCTGCCTCACGTATTGTTAACAATGTTTTCTGTTCTCTTGGGTGCAGAATCTTTTGCTCGTGAGAATTTCAGAAGCAGGGAAAGAAATTTGACTCGAGCATCCCAGAGGGAGTCTTCAGAGTTGGCAGTTAGAACAATATTCTTTTTGATCTACTAACTGAACAGATTAGGCCTGGACGGAATGATATTTAAGTAGGGGTGTGGACTAGCCTGCCCTTGAATCAGTGGCTTACTAGGACTTTTCATACGTTTAAACTTAGGCTTCCGAGTCTCTAGTAAGGCATCAAAATAAGTGCTCTGATATGCCGCTCAGGCCCCTGGCTTGTGTGGGTGTTGTAGTTTGCAGTTGGGGCTAGATTTATCAAGGGATTAGTTCTCAAAAGCTGCGGAGAGGCACCCAGGGGGATTTACAGAAAGCATTCCAGCAGGTTAGTTGCCCACGCCTTTGGGAAAGCTTTGAAAAGCTGCATCTTCAGCCACCTGCTGCCTTTGTAAGCCAGGCTCCTATTGCTGTGAGCTGTCTAACACTTGCCCTTTCGATCAGACTGCAAAGGGAAAGCACAGTCCAGGCTTTGTAATATCGCTACTAAGATGGCTGGCCTTGAAAGTGACCCCTGCTAACTTCAATTGCAAAGTTTTGGGAAGGAAATGGGTCTTTATTCTCTGTGTCTAGGGACACTTTCCCGCAGCTGAGATAAAACTTAGGGGGAGACTAATTCTTGGGAGGCTCATGGTATGCTGTAAGCTCTGTGCTGAGCGTATGAGAAGCAGAGTCCTTGGTGCGAAACAGGTAGCGTTACAGAATGGAAGCTTAGAAAGAGACATTAACTGCCACAGATGTGGCAGTACTACTCTCTTTTCCTCTGCTTGGTTTGCTTTTGTGTGTGTTTTGGGGGGGGGGGGGTGTATTTGCTTTTTTTGTTGTTGTTGTGTTCTTTATTTTCCTTTTCCCCTCAACACTAGGCTGTGAGGAATGCAAAACTCGCCAGTCTGAAGTCTGGCAAGGGCTCTTAAGAGACTGAGCCTGGTCTCTGAGCTCAGTGGGTGGCTAGCAGAGATCTCTGTTCTGGGTGGCTCCAAATACTGAGGTGAAAAGACTGGAGAAGGCTAATGGGGAGGAAGAAGTAACTGAGAACAGTAAGGAGGAGTGCCTGACCCGGCTGCGGTGTGAGTTTTCCCATTTGCTTCTCCCACTGTCTAATTTGGCAGTGGGGAAGAAGGGACTGAACAGCATGGTCACGTCTCCCTTCCTTGAACTCTGAAGTTGAGTTTCTTCTGATCTCCTCCCTGTTTGTAAATTATCCCTGAGCAGTTTGAAACCAGACCGTTCCCCTTTGTAGCGTTTTGTTCACCATCCAGTGGGGAAACTTTAGTTTATGGCAGTGTTGCTTGGGAGAACTGGGCCGTGAACTAGCTTGCAGTTGCCTTGTCACTTGGAAGGCTGCGGAAGAAAGAGGGCAATAAAAAGACAGAATGGCAGCCAAAAAGGGGAATGAAGAGCTCTTGCGAATGCCATTTGGAGCAAGGACTGTGGGAATGCAGGTGAAACATAAAAAGACAAAGCAGAACCAGTAACCCATGAGAGTGTAGTGCTACTGTGTTGCAGCAGCACCACTGAAAATTACTTGACTTTGAAATAATTAACTAGGAATCTGTTGCCTTACAAGGTCTTTTTTTTTTTTTTTTTTTTTTTTTACTTCCAAGTTGCAGATATTTTGATACAAATCAGGTAAGTGAGGCTTTACAGAGCACGTGTAAGCATGACTTCAGCGTACGTGCTTGTGTGCCTCAGCGCGTTAAGGGAATGAATGAACAAATATGCTTGCTGGGCCTCAAGGGACATTTATTCAGAAATAGTAGGGAACAAGGGAGATATGCTTGTTCCCAGGGGCAATAAGAGAGCGAGCTGTATGAGCTAAATAAAGGTGATACAGCTCCCAAAAGGGAGGGGGGGAAGGGAAGCAATCCTAGCAATTGCTTTGCTCTCATGACAGAGCACTGCAGTAAGTCTCCAGAAACTGCATCCTGATACAGGCTGAGCTGTAAGCAGAAAGTGAGTTATTTTGTGTATGTGCTGAGTACCTTTTCAGCACTGAGCAAATCCTGCAGGTAAAAACAGGAAAAACCCAAAGAAGTAGTTTCCTTTTTTTGAAGAGTTCTTGCTAAGTAGCATAAACTGCGTTGACATAGCTGAAAGGACAAAACGGCTTTGTGCTCATACCATATGTGAGCGTGACAGAGGAATGGATCTGCAGCAAGGAGAAGTATGTTTCCAGCAGATAAATCTGAATGCTGAGTCTCCTGCAAACAGGAGGTAGCAAGTTACTTAGCATACATTTGGAAGCAGAAAATGGAAATGAGTGAGGCCAGAAAACGTGCTGTCCTCTGCAGGGCAGAGACTTGAGTTCGTATAGTTGATGCCTGACTAAACCTGATCCTGTGTCTAGTAGAACTACAGAGCTTTGCAAGTGAGAGGAATGTGGGAGCTGGTCTTAGATAAAGTATCTGATACTATTTTTCTTGAAACCTTACCTGGAAAAACAAGCTCAAGGTAAGCTGAATATTTGCATACTGTTCTTTGGAGCTCTCATTGAACCTGGTCCCTAGGAACAGCTCTGTAGCACCTGGGGCGGGGGACTGTTAGGTCTCAACGTAGCATATATCTTAACAGTCTGGCAGAGGAGGTCAATGGTGCATATATTCTGCTTGGAGACTACTGGAACTGGAATCTTACTAAAGGCAGAGAGCCGAAACATGAGTTAGAAATAGGTTCAGACTGGAAGAAGTGCCCCAGAAGTAAGTGAAAACCCAGACACATAGCAAGTAAAGGATACCTAGTATTTCTGGCGCACTGGAAAGGCCCAAAGTCATGGGCCAGGGCTCTGTGCTAGCTCCTATGTAAGCACAAAACAAAGACCAAACTTAAGTCAAAACAGGACACAAGCTGATAGATTAACGTGCAAAGACAGAGAAAGCACAATCAGCAGGGGTATGAAAGTGTCTACGCAGTGACCATGCCAGCATTACTGTTTTGTGCTTAATGTAGCTGATGGGGAAACTTTGAGGAGTTTGCAGTGTATAAGGCATCTGTGGATGACTGTGATTGCTTCCACCAAGCTTGAGAGGGGAGGTTGTTGGGGAGAAGGCCTGCTTCTTTTGCAAGTGGGTGATAGAAGGCAGCATTGCAGGCCAGCAGCAATTAGACCTCTTGACTGAGCAGTGAGACAGGGAGGGTGCCTTGAAAGTGACATGTAGCAGAAACCCTCAGCCTGAGGTGTAATATAGGACAGTAAATTAATCTAGAAGACACGCAGCCTTGGCAGCAGGAGAGGCCTGAAGGATGTCTGCATGTGTCTGCCCAAGGTGTGGATCAAGGATTTTTACTTATGCATCTGTCTCTATACTCCTTGCCTGGCTTTGCTGTCCTATGTTTTGGAAAAGGGACATTGTGTCGTGCTTTTTTCTCCACTGAGCAATAGTTATTTGGAGAGAAGCCCAAAGCATGAGAGTAGCTATGCTCAAAGGGCTGGCTGTGATGGATAAGGGGAAAAAGAAGGAAAAAAGTCCTTAACCCAGGCTGTCTTGGTATGGTTATGTCCGAAAGCAAACAACGATCCCAGTAGGTTTTTGTCCTCGTGTGTTTTGCCCTCTGCTTCAGAGGGAGGCATGAAAAGGAGAAGTGAGCACAGCCCTGGATATGCATCTGCCTGTGCCTGTGCCAATTCTGAAGGGGTCTGCTGTTCTCTCAGGCTGCAGCTTGGGAGGGGTCTGTAAATCACAGTGCTTTGGAGGGTGTGGAGGGAGAGTTGATGTGTGATGCAGGGAGTTCTCCTAGTGCTGCCAGTGCACTCCAGCCTGTAGGGTCCCTGGGACAGGAACGCGCTAACTGCTCGTTTTCTGAGCTGTTTGGGGCATGGAATAATGTGTGAAGCGGGGCATGGAGTAATATGTGAAGCTGAGCAAAGAGAAACTAGCTGGATACTGAGATGCTTCCTGTTTAAAATGATACCTACTGGGGTCCATCTGTGCTGGGGACTTTTCCTTCCAGCTATGTTAAGAAGCCATACACAGTCCAGAGCTAATGTTAGGGAAATGTCTGTGCCTGTCTTTGCAGTCATGTCACTTGTCCTGATGTATTTGTCAGTCATGTAATATAAAGTTGAAGATACTGAAGGCAGATGAGCCTTCAGTCTGCGTTTTCACATAAAGCAGGGGAAGGAGGCCTGATCTTTGCAGCCCTTTTAAAGCCAGGATATAAGAAATACTGCAGGGAATGATCCAGCATTAGCCAGGGAGGAAACAAAATGTCTTCCATGTCTCCATTCTTTACTTATTCTCAGTCTTCTGCAGTTCTCATTCAGATCTCAGTGGAATAAGTGCGCTGGGTGGCAGCGGCGCTCGCTGGGGATGTGGGCCCAGGGCTCTGAGCTTGTTGTGCAGAGCTGCCCTGGGCCCCTCGCTTGAATCTGTTAGATGACTGGCCTTACAGGAACATTCTTCCCCAGCCGTTTCCTTGGTAGGAGGCACAGCCTGCAGGGGGACAAAGGAGAATGGTGTTGGAGTGCTCAAGCTCTTAGTTGGCGAGAAGCCATCCTGATCTTGGCGTGTGCTAGGGGGCAACAGGATAGAAAAGTTGGGGAGGAAAAGCAGCTGTCTGTTGGTGCTGCAGTTCTTCTCGTGCCCGCAAGATGGGGGAAGCAGCTCATTAGATGGGTAACTGGAGAGCGGCTGGCCTTGTGGAGCCAAGGGATGGGCAACTTTTGTCAGTGACCACCTTTGGGGGTGAGGGAATAAGAAAGGAGGTTTGTTTGGAGCAAGGTGCGAGTGGGAGACCGAGCTCTAAGAGGAGCTCTGCTCTGACAAGAGAAGGTGTAAGAATATGTTCTGGGTTTCCGTGCCCACAGGGTACCAATGAGCTTACCTTACTCAGCTTACCAATGAGACTGCTGTTCCTGTGCCAGCAAATGTTCCCGTCTCCCTGGTGCATGAACCAAGGCAGGCTCTGGCATTATCTGAAAGTGGCTTTCTTTTCCCTGGCGCACACGTTCCTGCACAACGTGTGGAACCCCTCCACCCCTTCTCCCCCTCTCCCATTTGGTGCTTTATTTCGTCAGACCACCCTCACCCACTTCCGTCCCCTCGCTCTTCTACTATGCTTCTTAGAGCAGACAAATCTCGTTATGGGAGAGGGAGAGGATGCGTTGCTCTTCCCTTATTCTTTGTCTTTTGCTCATCTCCTAGATGATCAGATGCAGGCCCCTCGCTTGGGTCTAGTACTCTAGGTTTGGAGTGCACAAGCCATATTGTTGGTGCTGAGCCCTACCAACAGCCCAGACACCTAGGAGGATGCTTGGTTGTGTGGCTGACAGTGGGGAGCTATACACATTGGCTGATGGTGACCAAGAAGGGCCTTGGAAACCGTTAATTGTACCTCTGAAACATAGCTATGAGACCGTTGCTATTTCTTCCTGAGAGAAGCATGTGTTGTCAGAGGTGCTTGCCCTAAGACTAATGAGCTGCCCAAAAAGGACGTAGACAGTGCCCCTTGCTTGTGTAGGGGCTGTGCCACGGCTATCAGTAGTCCATAGGTCACAGCCAACACTTGCTTTTTGCCCTCATCTCCAAATTCCTCAGCATGTTTGTCGCCAACAGTGGTGTCACTTGTAGTGACCACCTCCTTGGTTGGCAGGGTGTGGACTGACCTGGGAGTCTTTAGTGCTGAAAACTAAAGAGATGGGTTCTTGCCGTCTGAGTTGAAGTGCTGTAGCTGAGGGGTTGTGAATCTGGCTCGTCCCTTCTGTTGGAGCTGGCACAGAGGGGAGAGCATCTGTCCCGTCTCACCGGTAGGTTAAGCAAGAGGTTGAGGGGTGTGTGGTTGTCATTAGTATAGGTATAAATGGGACACTGAGGCATGATATTGCCATGAAGGGCCTGTCCTGAGGTGAGGAAAGCCTGTTTTTGAGACATGGTTGCATCTGGGCTGCCTCTCTGATGCTGTTTTTTTCTCTCTCCCCACCACCGCAGGCTCGGGCCCAAGCGGAGGCCCTCCACATTGGGGATGTACACTTTTCTGTCAAGCCTGGCTCCAGCACCTCATCTCCTAAGCTTCACTCCAGCGCTGCGGTGCACCGGCTCAAGAAAGATATCCGGCGATGCCATCGCATGTCCCGGCGCCCTCTGCCCCGTCCAGACCCCCAGAATGGTGGAAGCGTGGGTGGTGGGGCCGGCATCCGTCCTCCAGTCTCACCCTTTTCTGAGACCGTCCGCATCATCAACCGCAAGGTGAAGCCCCGTGAGCCCAAGCGCAGCCGCATCATCCTCAACCTCAAAGTCATTGACAAAGGTGGGAAGCCTGCCAATGGGGCCGGAGGCCTGGCTCGGCCCAAGATCCCTTCCCGAAACCGTGTCATTGGCAAGAGCAAAAAGTTCAGTGAGAGCGTTCTCCGCACCCAGATCCGCCACATGAAGTTTGGCGCCTTTTCGCTCTACAATAAGCCGTCCACTGCACCTGCCCCCTCTCTGGAGGGCAAAGGGGAGGCTGAAGGTTCCCAAGCAGCCTCCTGTGGGCTCATTATGGGCTCCACCGCTTACGATGCCCCCAGCTCCAGCTCCTCCGGCTGCCCCTCACCTGCCCCCCACTCCTCATCTGATCCAGATGATTCCCCTCCAAAGCTGCTTCCTGAGACCCTCAGCCCAGCCATCCCTGACTGGCGCGAGTCGGAGGTCCTCGACCTCTCTATCCCTCCTGAGTCAGCTGCCACCAGCAAGCGTTCCCCTCAAGGCGGGTGTGGTGAGGGGCAGACACCTTCCTTGTCCATTTCCTCTTCCGACCCGGAGCAGGAGACCGGCGATTGGCGTCCTGAGATGTCCCCTTGCTCTAATGTGGTGGTCACAGATGTCACCAGCAACCTCCTCACAGTCACCATCAAGGAGTTCTGCAACGCGGAGGATTTTGAGAAAGTGGCGGCAGGGGGGGGGGGGGGGCAGAAAGGGCCCAGCCACGTCCCCCTGCTCTGGGAGCGTGGGGGGAGCTCTACCTGTGAGAAGTTGTGGTGTGAATGGCTGTCGTTAGTTTTCTCCTTCTCCCCTTTGCTGTCCCTCTGCCCTCACCACCACCCTTCCTCCTCCTTTCTTCCTGCCCACTCCCTCTTGCTCGGAGGCTGTGGCCTTGCAGTGGGGGGAGCAGGGGCATCTGATGTTCCTGGGTGTCACTGCTGCTGGGGGTAGATGGGAGGGTTGTGGTGGGGCTGGAGAGCGGTTGTTTGTCCTTGAATGTGGTGTTGTCCAACTGGCCATGGAGCCTTTGGGGATGAGGGGTCAGTGAATGTGTGTGCATGCAGGGATGGCAGGGAAGGTGCTCTTCCCTTCCTTCCCCTTCTATCTTTTGACTGAAAGTGAAGAGGAGCTCCAGACCCTTGAGAGGGGGGTATAAGAGGATTGGAGCCTTCACTTCCTGCCCCCAGGCCTTCTCCAACAACGTGCATGCAGTCTCTTCCGTTCCTCTTGTTTTTCCAGCTGCCATGACTTTGATCCTACCGTCTTCCCCCTTCTTGGCTTGTGGCCTGGATCTGTCAACTCATATGCTGCAGTCATGGCAATGGCAGATCCAGAGGCCCCCAGAGCAATGGGGAGAGGGGCAGGTGAAGCGTCATGCCTGGAAGGTGCTTGTGACAAAGCTGGGATGGTTGGGGGGTGCCCAATGCAGCATATGCCCCACACTGGCTTCCCTTTTAGCTATTGGTGCTACCTTGGCAGTTGTATGGGCGCTTTCATGTGGCCTGGTCCCTCCTCTTTGCATCTTCCAACCTGCTCAGCTTTGCAGGGAGAAGGGAGGAAAAGGGGAGTCTGCTTCTGGCCCAGATCTTCCTCCTCATGTTCATTACTTGCACTTGCCTGGAGGAGAGGGCATTAAATGCCCTTCCTCAGCTTTTCCATGGTGGAAGTGGGAGTTGCCTGCACGTCCATCCTTCAGTTTGGGAGAAGATAAGCTGATGGTGTGATGCTGTTCCAGCTGGGTGAGGCTGATCTGCATTGCATGTAAGCTTCCCTTGAGCCTTTTTGTCCGTCCCCCCCCCAACCCTGCTCCCTCAGAGGGAGGGAAGGATGGATGCTAACGCAAGTTGTCTGTTCTTCCTGCTTCCTTTCATCTCTCTCCTGTTCTCCTTTCCCTTTTGTGGATGGCCTGGAAGATGGTTCCCCTTAGCCTTTTCAGGATCTGAAATGGCCCTTACAACTGTCAACCAAAGGTGCTAATAAGAAATAACTGTCTCTTTCACATCATACGCATGTGTGTTAATTCCTCCCCTTGCCCTCTATTCCAGAAATCTTCACCCCTTGTGAGTGGGAGCAAG